TAAGTCCGACGCCTCACACATGTAGGTCCGATGCCTCATAAGTCCGAAAAACACATTAAAAAATTCCTTAAGTCTGATGACTCAAAAGTCTGACGATTATTAGTTTATTTCGACCTCTAGATCTGACGCCTCATTAGTCAGATGCCTCATAAGTCTGAAAATTAGGACTTTTGAGGAGTTGGACTTATGAGGTGTCGGACTTATGATAAGCACCCACCAAAATTCTACCTGAGGAGTCCAGGGGAGGGGCTTGTAGAAAGACAGCCTTCCTCTTTCTGTGAGGGCTCAATCTCTTGTAAGGTACATGTACTTTGTCTTGGTGGCAGATGTCCAAAGGTCAAAATGTTTGGTTGTTCACTAGAGGCGATGTTTGCTTGCAAGTAAATTACTAAATGTAGAAAAACCAACCGAAGTTACTGCCTTAGATGGTTATGTATGTGTGTACATTCGAACCTGGCAGCATTGGAATGCGTATAATTTGAATGTACACCAGTGCCTGATTGCCTGTCCAATGTCTTAATGCCTAACCTCAGTAACAGTTAACTAGAAAGTAAGAGTTTCCGTCGGAGGAGGTACTAGATCATTGGGGACAGCCCCGAAAGGGTGGAATTCAGTGTTGACCGTAACTTTGGTCTGTACAAATTGGTGGGAACCGACAGAATTGGAGTCTGACTAAATCAGGCTGCGATTTCGTGTTCTTGCTGGTGAGAGAGCTCCGGCAATGCAGTGCTTTCTCAGTTGTTAGGGCAGGACATACCGTGGTAACCCTCCCTGACACTGAGGTTTCACACTTCATCCGTTTTCTCAAATTTTCGACTTTGACCTGTAAAAGGCGTAAAAATTAAAAACCAATGAATATGATGCGCTTGCGTCAAATTGACAAATCAAACAATCCAAATCACTCGTAAGACTGTATGGGTGATTATTTTTTTTTTTAAAAACACACCAGGTCCAGTGCCTGGAATGGAAACTCTTACCCCAATCAGGCCCCCTTGCCTGCACCCCTCCGTTAGCTTGGTAGGGCTGACCTCCAAGTACTGACTTGCCATGCTGGTGCATGTTGTATCTTGGACCCCCCCCACCATGTAACTGTCCCTTCTAACGATTGCACGGTGCCTGAATCTACTACAAGAGTGACATAACAGGGCTGGCTGGGCCTCCAACTTCCCTTCTCCCCCACCCCTTCCCATTCCAGAGGGTTTGCCACAGTCTCCTCAACCTGCTGGAAATCCAACAGCTACATCCTGGCTAAATTAGCAGATCACCGTCTCATTCTGGTCCGGAGAAAAAAGTTGACCCCGGAAACACTCCTTCTATCCTTCACAGATAAATGGACTCTCTCCACCCTCGTCAACCCTGTATTTTGTTGACATTGTTACATTTTTGTCTCTCTGAAGAACATTTCTTTTGTCATGCTGCATGTGATAAACCGCAATATCCATGATTAAGAATGCGGACAAGGGCGAGAGAGTACAAAATGCCCCACAAAGCGTCAGGAGTTCATTCCTGGTATTGTCTCTCATTGGCTGTGGCAAACCCTCCGTTTTCTCGCAGGGTTCTCTGTCAGTTTCCCGGACGAGTCTTGCAGCTTCATCTGCTCTTGACGGCACCTTCAGGCTACCTCGCTGAACTGCCTTCCTACTGCTTGCAAATGCAACTGACAAGCTGGCCCAGTGCTATAAAATTCATAACCCTCGCAGGGCAGGGCAAATTGCATAATGTGTTGTCATATTGTAGCTTGTACGTGCTTCGGGCCTGTTTTTTGGTAGTGTTGGGAGAGTATGCTTAGTGCTGTAGTGGTGCATTGTTGTTGCTGTGGTGGGGGGGGGAGCTATTAGCCCCGCCCACCATAACACCATCCTCCAAGAAGCATCAGCTAAAATTGACAATGGATTTCACATGCCTTTGAATGCCAGGGGGCTGCGCGTACTATTGAGGTGTTCATTTGCTGGTCACGGCCAAGTGCTCGTACTCTCCTAGTGACCTTGGAGAGGCGACGGCCGTCTGCAGACATCGGCCTGGCAAAGCTACATGTAATAATGACTCTCAATCGGCTTGATAAGTGCAAATCATGTGCCAGCCTTTTGGGGTTTCCCCCAACTGTTGTGACCAGCCATTAACGCCTCAAGAAGCATCATTACAGCATGAAGCACATTCATGTATATATATCTTGCACCCGTGTTTTTATAGTATAGCTTGAATGATGTGAGAGATGGTTTGCCTTGGGATGATAGACTTTCATCACATGGTGGGTGCGCAAATGATGGCCTTCAACGTCGCCATTCAAAGTTCAAACCACCCTCCTTTTTTGGGGGGTTTGCTTTTTCAAATATGCAAATTTGGGAGCCTTATTTCTCATGAGCCCCAGGAAACCTTGAAACGGTGGAAGTCCATCAGACTTTTCGTAATGAATGAATGTCAGTTCTGTCAGAATCCAACACCAAAGAGCAAGCCTGTTTATGATGGCTCTGTACTTTCACTCAAACACCAGACCCGTTAAAAAATGGTGGCTGGGATTGACGGTATCATTCAAAGTTTCACAAGTCCTTAAAAATAAAATGTTGGAGTTGGAAGATTTTGGCTGATATTGTTAGAGACACTATCAAACCTGTGCAACAATAGTAAGGCAGAATTGATTTTTTTTTCTCTCCCCGCTGAAAACTATTAGTGGTCTTGCCCCTGTAAGTGAAATTTCATGGAATTAGATGGTTAACCGCAGGAGTAAGCAAAGTGTGTGATGAAAGTCTATTGTATGCTGAATTATGTGCAGTGCTTGAGACATGTACATGCACATTCAAAGGATTTTTGTTCCAACAAGAGAAATTTTTTTCAGTTGTCTGAAAGCGTTTTCCAGTGAAATGTGAAAACGAAAAGCCACCAGAATTGAACAGAGGCTCTTATTCAGATTGTTGTGGGTTAAGCCACTGCGTTATGGGATTTTTTTTTTTTTAAACACCTGTTGTCTTGATGTAAAGAATTCTTGGGAAGAAATCCTTTGCATTGACATAAAATCTGACCATGTTGTCGAGGTTTTGTCTGTCTGGCTTCAGTTAAACAGATGCCTGTTTCATGTTTGTGGGTCGGCTTTGTTCCTCACTGTTTGCTCTCACAAGCTTTTGTCTGTTTTTTTCCCCTCCCCATTCAGTCCTTCACCTCTGCAGCGCTTTTGCAAACTTCTCAATAGCAACTTGATGGGGTTGGATTTTTTTCTGGGTATTCCAATTTCTGTGGACGGTCCTTTTCATCGTAGGGACCTTCAAACCTTTTGTGCTGCATTCCTTTTCATATTTTTCCCCCATTTTTGTTGTCTGACTTGAAAATTCTACGCTCATTTTTCATTGAGCCCCAGCTACTTTTCAGTTTTTCCTCTCTCTGGGTTGGTGACTTTTTTCTTTAAAGAAAAAAATCTGTGTTCCTTGTGTGTGTTTATTACAGATTTACAAAGAGATGGGTACATGCATGTCCAAAAAGGCCATTTCTTTGCCATGTTTTGAGTTTAATCGCCAGTAATTTTTGTCCTTCAAAAACACTGCAAGACCAGCTTGGAGACTGGGAAAAGTACATGTAGGCCAATTTGTCTGATACGGTAATGACTTTGTATTGGCTGCCCTTCCAGTAATTGCTTTGTGCTGTCTGATTTGATGATGACTACTGCTCCAATTTGAAGAATTGACCTTGTAGGCAGAACCACTACGTCAGAATGTTAATTTTGTCAGCTTGAAAATAAAAATGACAGAAAGTGACAATATTTGGGTATTTGTGGCAATGTGATGCTACAAATCCAGTCCTCTTGTAAACTGTACTATCAGGATAAACTGTCATTGTATTTTTGACTTGTCTGAAGAGACAGGTGCATTTAACAGGTTGTTGCGAAAATGCTTCACTGATGTTGATGACCTGGCCTATGGTCATGAAAATAGTTGGAAATAGATCTTGATTGTGAACATCTCAGTATTGTTGTGCCATTTAAACATGGTCATCTCATTGTGAAAACATGACCATAAAATGTTTGTTGGTTCTTGTTTCGGAGATCCAAAAGTTGCATCAATTGAGATGGAAGCCTTAAACAAATAAGATCAGTTTTGCATTAGGGGAAGTTTTGAAAAAGCTGTCTTCCCTCTCTTCTTTGTAATTTCCTTTTCCGTGGTTGTCTATTTTCTTCTTTTTGGGTTGTGATTTCCCAAAAACTTTAGTATTAACATAGTGTCCTTTTCATCGTTTCTTGCTAACCTTCAATGTGGTCGTTTCACAATGGTGCACCCCAAAGAGTTTGCAACGCTTTGATCAATCACAGTGCCCTAAATCTGTCGACCCAGTGTGCATTTGGAAGGGGTCAATAGATTTTGTGCACTGTGAGTGGCCAATGCATTGCAAACTCTTGGGGGCACACTGTTGTGAATCGCTCGTATTGATTGGAAAAGCACAAATGTTTGTGATCAAAAACTGCTGCTTATGTCTCCATTCAAGACAGAAGTCCCTTGAAAAGGGTGGATATTAAAAAGACTGAAATACGAATAACCTTGTCCAAAGGTGACAGCGTGCAGGTGGTTGTGATCCTTGAAAAGTTTTGTCCAGCAACATCGTTGGAAAAAACCCAAAGTGTATTTTACTACTTTTTCTCAACACAGTTCATAGACAAACGAAATAGCGAGGTCACAGAAATGACAAATGAAACAGCAGGTGACTGTCATTTACATAACCTGATTGGCGTATTTTGCAATGTGGATAATGCAAGTGTTGGTTTGTTGTGCATAGTAATATGACATTTAATTTTGCATCAGTGTTCCAAAAATGTGTCAAGGCCAGAAACGTTGATTTTTCGATTTTTCTCAACCCTGTTTTTTTTCCTTATAACTATTGGCAACTTGAATGTGAATTTTCACGCACAAGAAGCTCATTTTCCATTTCATAAGCGTATCACAGTCATATAGCGTACTTTGTCTTCTCTTGTCATTGTGATATTAACATTAGAATGTGGGTCCGATTTCTTTCCATCATAGTTGCCGAAGGTCACGTCTGTGACCCACAGTGCGCCCCCATTGGCTGTTGGGGGTCAGGTCCCAAGCAGTGCGCTCGATGTCAAAATGCGCGTATTGGCGACACGTGCATAGCCGGGTGCAACCCTCTGTCACAGTAAGTCATGTGTTCTTATTCAGCTTTTCAACTCTCTTGGCCGTAGACACGAACAGGGTTCCTTACGGTCATTGAAAATATTGGAGGGAAAAAGGTGTCTTGGAAAGTCAGAGAAAAGGGCACAAATAGCATGTCACAGAATCCTGTCGTCTGAGGGGAAAACTTGATTGAACTCAAGACCACGCAAGGGTTATTTTTGGTGGGCCGTGGGCAGTTTTTGTTGTGATGGAAAACAAAAATAAATTTACAGTCGATGTCATTGTCTATCTGTCGTCGTGGCTTGGGCAGTTGTCCAGTGCATAATACTGAACAACTTTTGTCTGCAAAATGGCATTCAGTGAAATAAAACCTGTCATGTATTAGTCCTGGAAACTCATGGAAAAGTCACATTTTGGTCTTGAGGTATCTATGGGAACCCTGAATGAATATGTTCATTTCTGTTCATGTTCACTGTCTTAAACTGGGACGGAATGTACTCGTCAGTTTGCAACCTGAGTCATTTCTGCCAGTCACATTCTTATGCCGCCCAAAATTGCCCGAGAAATAACGAGGCAAAGCTGGAGTAATGATTTTGAATACCAAGATTCAGATGGCCGTTAAATAACCTAAATGCCTCAACCCGTGAAGTTCTCTTGGAAAGTTTATCATTGTTATTACCTGTCTCCTGTTAGGTATGAGTGTATTTCACACGAGATTGCTAAGGTGCTGGCTGGCAAATTTGTGGAATTAGCTAAATGGACGTTTCCGCTGAATGCGCAGTTTTGGCAGCCCCTTGCCTTTTTAGGGCAGTGCTGAATACAAGCTGTTCTCGCCAGTTGCTATAGATTGTGACAAAAAGTTTGTTACAGTTTCTGCATGGCGACAACGGCAGCTGATAACTTGAACCCTGCCAGATCGGTGCTCTTGGGTTTTGGTTACGACAATTTCAGTGACGAAGTTGTATACTTCAGCCATCCTACTTCACACTTGTTCTTGCTGTCAAATACATGCATTTTGATGACTTGATGACACCATAGTTTGTTAACGTGTGCGCTTTTTATTGGGGGGGTCCATGTGGTATCAACAGACTGGAAGCTCTGTAAGAAAGCGTACATGTGAAGAAAGCATGATGTCATCAGTGCACAGGCCTGTTGGAGGTGGGTTCTCGAAGTCACATTTAATTAGGAAAGAAAACTCCACCTCTGTCCTCAGGTATGTAGCATCAGAAGGCACCGAGGACACCCCAACCGTCTGTGCTCATTGTGACCCAGAATGCAAGGGAAGATGTCGCGGACCGGTAAGTCATATCATGGTCGTCACTGCCCCCCACATCACATCGAACGTGACTTTAGCTTGGTCCGGTTCTAAGATGGGGCAAATGGCCACTTGAGCTTAATCGTTGTAGACTCGAAACGCCTGCCTAGTGGTAAGGACTGACGCCAACATCTTACGTTTTCCATCAAAGATTTCCACTCCTGGGGAGTCCTGATCCCTAAAATAAGAACAGTTTGTGACAATTTTCTTGGGAGGTTGGGTGGGTTTTATGGTAATTGTTATCGTTGGTATCTCTAAGGTGATTCTGATATTCATGTACGTCCATTTGTTACATTTATGATATTTATCATCTTATGTTGCGCGTAAACCATGCTTCCTTTCAAAGGACTGCTAAAGTAAATGAAATAAGAAAAAAATCAAATTGGTTTGTAATTTGAAATTCTGTTCTCTAACCCAAAATTGCGGATACAGACATGTTTTTTTCCTTTTGTTTTGAGTTTTATCATGAGGAACCAGTAGTGTGGTAATTGAGAACTCAAGACTATCACATGATCCCGCGATATGATCATAAGACCTACGCATTCCCTTCTGTCTGAAATCAAGTCAAAAGCTATTCACCGGAACTGCAACAAAAGCAATCCTTTGTCATTTCTCACTGAGTGACTCGTCTTGTATCTTGTCTTGTGACTAGTTTTGTGACTGGCCTTGTGACTGGTCTGGCGTCTGGTCTTACATCTGGTCATTTGTCTAGCCGTATAAATGGTGTTGTGAATGGTCTTGTGAGTGATCTTTTGAGTGGTCTTATGAATGGTACCGACCACGACGCCAGAAATCTTTGGGGAATCTGACATTCATTCTTAAAGGGAACCACAGACTTTGGTATAGAACAACCATAGATTTTGAAAGAAAGGCAGTAATTCTTTACTGGTTCAGTATTGACTGCTTGTCTGTTTGGCCATCCAATCAGGGCCCCCAAAACTGCACCGAGTGCCTACATGTGAAAGACGGTCCCTTCTGTCGGAAAGAGTGCCCCATCTCCAAGTACCCGGACGAGGACGGGGTCTGCCAACCCTGCCACAGCAACTGCGTGGTGGAAAAAGGGTAAGTGTTGCACGACCTCCTGGGTGTCGCTGGTCTTCCTAAATGACCAACAACAACAACAAAAATAGTCTGTGGGGTCAATTTTATTTTGCTAAGTGAAGCTAGCGTTATTGTCAATTGGTTTTGGGTACCACGCTTACTGCCAAATATTGAGCTGATTCAGTGTGGAGAAAGATGAAGAACTTGGGCATTGGACGGTAAATAAAATGAGGACCTGTGAGAGTTGTGTAAAAGGAAAGTCTTAAGGTTAAAGGTACTTGGAGGAGTATCACACCTGTAGAAATTGAGTTTTCCTGAGAAAAAGCTGAGTACTCTGCTGTTGTTTGAGTTCAGTCTAGTTCGTATTCGGTGGTGTTAGTCAGAAAGTACTCAACTTCATCACTGAGTAAAATATGGCTGAGGGCAGCAGTGAGTGACAAATTATCACGTGATATGGCTTGCAGTTTTTGGTGGGGAGGGCTCAACAGAATACTTTGTGCAGGGGGGCATTTGTCTGCGGAAAAACTCTGGAAATCGGTGCACCGGGATCAAGAAAATGAGCAAAGATGGAAATTAATGATTTAGAATTAATGCCAACATTTCTGAGGTGTAATTTTTATCAGCATTTCCGATTGTCTTTCATGCGAGTATTCTTCTCTGTCTCAATAATTTTGTGCAGGTGCACCGGACCAGATAACAGAGTTGGACAAGGGGGCTGCGTTGGTTGTCATCAGGCACTGGTTGAACAAGATGGCCTGACAGTTGTAAGTCTATAATCTGGTAGAATGTTTCGCTTTGAAGACAGAGACAGAAAGAGGACTTTCTTGTCTTAAGGTTATGCAGCATAACTTGAACAATCTCTAGATTTTTCTTAATATTTGCTGCGTAAGTTTTGCTTGATACTGTGTTGTCAATTATGTCATTTGAAAAGAACTTTGGAAAAGATAGAATTCCCTTGTTTTGATTCTGTGAAACCTTAAAAAGTTTTGGTTTGATATGGGATCTTAGGTTGTCCCAAATTTATTTGTGTGGAAATGTATATGAAATTGACCATGGCCCAATACTTTTGATGAGTGTGTTAATGCTCGGTGACAACTTGACTGCGCTTAGGTACAAAGCTTATCAAGAATGAACCGGCTAATGAATGGCAGTTGGTTAGACGTGCCAAAAACCTTAGTGGCACTTGCGTTCTTGAGTGTAACATACTTCAGGGACATAGCTGCAGTTCTTTAATGATATCTAACGTGATCCGTTTGAAAACTTGGAGTGAAACTAAATGCTTGTTACAGTTTTTCTGTTTGTACACCAAGAAGTGGGTTTTAATTTTTTTGGTAATTAATGATACTGTAGCCAGCATCTTGCTGTAGCTTAGTGAAATTTTTGTCGACTGTTGGAATTTTCCATCTAAGCATTTTAACCAAGTTTCTGTGTCCTATCATGCTCATTTCCCACCATGGCTAATGATAGAAAGACATTTCACCAGAGTGGGTAGGTAGTAGCACCGTGGTCTTGTCCAAACCAGGGGCTCCGACGTCAAACTCGCGGTCTGGTTTGAGTTGATGGCGTAAAGAGGTTTCTTGTTTCCTCATCACAACTCCGAGTCTTCTGGAGCTGGACTTGGAAACTTTGCAAGAGAACTGTATTTCTGTCCAGTGTCTTTCTTGGAAGATTCAAACTTGTGGAGATCAGTGTTAGAGAATGGTCTAAGAGATCAGAACAACTCTATACTCACTGATGAAATCCACACCTGATTCTACAGGGTTTGTCATAGATAATGTTCCTCATGTTGGAAAACATGATCCCCTGAACCTCCAACAAGTTGAATTAATGGGTAAACCATATTTTGAAAGTTTGGAGTGAGCGATGGGGTTGGTCTTGGCTTAGAAAACCTCTGTCCATCGAGTGGAACCAGACCGGTTTGGGATGACGGTTAGCTCACCCCCCCTTGAACTTTGTCTGTACAGGATTATGGAATGCATTATTGGATTGCCAATGGCCTGCGTCCAACATGCACGTGTACTTTATACCAGAGAAACAATGTCTTGGTATCGCAGCCAGCATTAGAATCTGGAAGCAATACGAGAGATTCACAATAGCGCCACCAAGAGTTTGCAACGCATTGGCCAATCAGCAGGCGCGAAATTTGTCGACCTTTTCCAAACGCGCAATGGGTCGACAAATTCCGCGCATTGTGATTGGCCAACGCGTTGCAAACTCTTAGTGGCGCACTATTGTGAACCGGCCGTATTGTATACCCCAGTCCGTGTCATGGTCGTAGAGATGTGTGACCTCCAAGATGTATGTACTTGTGCTCTCAACGTACGGTTGCCCCGTTGTCATTAACATTTTTGCTGTATTTGAAAGCGGAGAAGTCGCAAAGCAGACGATGTGGTCTCCATTCTAGTCGGTCGACGTGACGCCATTTGGAACAAAAGAAAAGGACATTTTATATACAAGGCGCATGTGTGTGTGTTGGCATGTAGAAAATCCTGAAAATAGTCCCATGCGTACACATGTGCTGAAGTTGGAAGTTTATGCTGCATACAAAAATACTTGCATATCTTACTGTTTCCAAAGTGTCTGAAGACTCCATTCGAGACACTTTATATGTATGCATACATTTCTCCCTTTCCCAAGTCCCCGTCTGTCCTAAAAAAAAGCAGTAACAAGTAAAGAGGCTGCCAAAGATTGTATCCCCCGAAAATGGTGTCCCACATCAATGTAACTGTAGTTAGAAATAACGTTGAACGTAAGCCTTGACAGTGTTTCTCAATGTGCATCATGACATGAAGATGCATGTGCCTGGCCATGTCCGTTCCACGAATGAGTGCATTTTGGACTAACCTCCCAGCTAGACAGGCAGATTTCCCAATTCCGTTCATCATGTGTCAATCCAGTCATCCCATCCCTGCCCAGAATCAGAGTACTGCGTCACTGCTTCCTTTACATCAATTAACATTAACCCACTTTGTGTCGGAAATGTGCAAGTAGGCATGGCGAGCGGGTTACAACGAAAAGCGCGTCTCAACTGGTTTTTCCCCCATGTAAATCCCTCCCTTTGTTTTGCACATAAAATCTGGTGGCGGACGGCGTGATGAACTTGGCCACTGTGCACCGGCCTGTTGTGGGTAGCAACAGAAAGAAATAAATTACAGAAAGAAATATCATAGAGAGACGTTCCAATGACTCATGCAAAACAATATATATCCATGGCGTTGGGCGCTACGTCAAAAGCTGGCTGCCACATCCTGCCTATGTTCAGCCAAAAATAGGCCCAGTCGCATGCGTAAGTGGTGAAGCTGAGTAGAAGTACTTGGTCATGGGTCACGGCTGGCCATCGTTGCATTTTGTTGTTTGACCTTCACAGTGTAGTGATTGTCACAAACACACGGCTCGTTCGGACGAAAATGTATTTTGGAGAACGGAAATTCTTATCAAAAGACAAACTGTGCATGAGAAAGCATGTACCAAATCCCTAGGATTTTTTTTTTGCTTGTGGATAAATTAAATCAAACTTCCAGGCTGCCGGTGAGTGACAAAAGGAATGCCTGCATTTTGGAACATCCCTGATTCATCCAGCCTTTCCTTAAAATCAGTGGCATTATTAAATTGTAACTCTCCCCAAATCCTGTCACAGTGCTGTTAAGACTTTTGAGGAGTTCATCTTGTGTATGTCGACACTGTACCCCGATCATGTACTATTGATGTTTCCAACCCTCATTGGAAATTCAGTGTTGTATTCCAGTCCATCACAAGTCCCCGCAAGTCTCTGACAAGGCATTCAGTCAATTCACAAGCTAGTCAAATGAGCTGTGAAAAAAAGCATTGTCTTTTGTCATTGTTAACCTGTTACTTGTGACTGGCGTTTGAAGGGACTTGAGACTCGAATATAACACTGTTGAAAGTCACAGCAGAAGAGCAAGCCGAGGTTTTTGACGCGGTTCATGCCAGCCAAAATATGTACGTTTAAAAGGAAGTGCATGTGTCCTGAGGAGGGGGATGCCTTGTCCTGCTACTCCCTCCTCCCTTTCTGTCCCCGCCCCCAAGATAACCCCAAATTAAATGAAAAGCTGGAAGGGGCTTGAACTTGCAAAATTGAAATTTCTAAGCCCTTCTCAGACCCGTAAAAGAAATACAAGTCTGGCACAATTCACGATCTAAAGAGGCACACTGGATTCTGGGGAGACAAGCTAATTGAATTTCCCTGACAATTGTTAACTGCAGTTGTTTGAAAATAAAGTCACCCATGCTCACATGTATTCAGGCTGCATGCTTACTGATAAAGTACAGGTCTCAGAGTGAAATTGGTCAAAGCGAGGCAAATGGCTCCACTTAAAACAAACAGAAAGACGTTCTAAGAGAACCAAAGAGTGCTTAGCGAGTGGAGCCTCCCATTGATGTGGGGGGTGAGAAATTTTTTCGGTTTAGAAAAATTACGTTATTTGGGGGGAATTCAAATGTGTGAAGACCCCCAAATTTAGCCACGCCCCTCAGAAAGGCCGTGGAATGTTACAGCTAGAAATTTGTAAATTCCACCTCCCCCCCCAAATAAATTAAAAACTTAAGCCCCCACCTCTGTAAATCTGGTTCTTAATCAAATCTTGGGAACTACTCGTTTATAATTTGAATTCCTGCAGTAAAGACAAAAGTTTGATCTGTTCCTATTTTTTTGGTGGGCCTAGTTGGAGTGCATGCCGGATGGTGCACAGTGTGGCAACAATTCCTTCTACTACCATGTTGGAGAGTCTAGCAACTTGCCGCTCCGTGGCTATTCGGTGAGTATGGATTGACGGAGCACCTGCTGAGCAGGGTAAAATGCCATAGAATGCTCACGGAGCAGCCATCTTGCATTTCTGCCATTCAAAGCAGTGTAAACCAACCTGAGGCTGGAAGACAGTCTGTCCCCTTTTATCAATATGGGAAGTTGTATTACTATTGCCGATGGGGTCGACAGGGATCAAGACAAACGTGATAACAGCATCATTACAGGTGTCTTGCATTGAGAGTACTCGAGAAAGATTCATGTAGGAATTCTGCAACGCTGAGCCCTCGATCACCAATTTTTTTGGGGGGGGGGTCAGAGGCCAAAGAAGATTGTGGTCTCCCTGTGTTGAGAGAAAAGGCACTTTGTTGGTTATCAGTCAAGACATCACAAGATCTGTCACTAAACCAGCCACAAGACCATTGATAAGACTAGTCACTGGCAGCAGTGTGAACAGTGACAGAAGAATGATTTTGTTGCCGTTCATTTGAAATTACTTGCGACTTGTTTTCAGACTTGAGGCCTTGCACAGTCTTGAAATGGCCTTGGGAGGTCTTGACTGCCACACCGTGGTTGCTTGATCCATGTTTTATCTGCATAGTCTGTAACACATTCAGAGGCTGCATTTGTGCATGGAAATCTTGGCGTACGCTATTCATTCACTGCCCAGAGACAAGTGAACACTGTGTATCGCCCAGAACTGATATTTTGTTTTCCTCTTCCCTCGGACTTAAAAAGCTCTGTCAGATGTGCGATCACAACTGCCTGGGTTGCCATGGGGCAGGCCCCTCCAGCTGTAAGCAATGCAAGCGATACAGACGGGAGCAGGAGTGTGCAGACGAGTGCTTTGCCCACCAGTTCCCCGACCAAAATGACACCTGTCAGAACTGCCACCGCGAGTGCCGCGGCTGCTCCGGCGGGAGCTCCCCCTATGACTGCATCCGCTGTCAGAACTTGGAAGTGCTTGAAAGCCAGAATGTGGTAAGTGCTGCCTCTCACTGTGTGCGTACTGCTGTAACATTGATCAATCATACTTGATTGCGAATCATAATTACCTTGTTAGGAAAATGTCAAATCAGTTTCAATTTTGACTGTATATCATTAATTATCCTTTATGAACATAAGAAAAACCACAAACTAGAATGATACTTGCAGATCTGTGTTAGAGACAGCCTGAACTTTTGACCCAAGTAAATCTTTTTAAAAAGGCTCAATAGCAACTAGTCACCAAGACTTTTGCTGTCATCAACAGACCTACTGTGCCAAGGAGTGTCCACCTGACTACCCCTACAACGATCGCAACTCCCACTGTGTGGCCAACTGCTCGGAGAATGAGTTTGCCAACAAGAACGACGTCTGCATGGCCTGCCACCAGCAGTGCCTGGGCGGCTGCTTCAATGACCGCCGCAGCTCCTGTTTCCAGTGCCGCAATGTCAAGCACGGCCGGGAGTGCCTGGAGAAGTGCCCGGAGGGCTTCCTGAACAGCAGCGGAGTATGCATGAAAGACCCCTCCCTGGAGAGTACTCGGAATCCCCAGAAGTGAGTGGTGCATGCGACATTTTAGTTTCGAAGATTTCCTCCTTTTTCGCTAGGTCCGATTCCTTCCGTCATTCAAACTGTCGTTAATGACTTGCGTTTTCCTGGAATAATTTACAGTGAGCCAGTTCAGCATTTGAAAACAAAGCGCCACATGTCATGCCAGCTAGGACATAAGTCTGTAAGTCGGCGTGAAATCACCCTGATACAGTGTTGTAGTGGAGTATTTTTTAAGTACAAAGGTTCTCTGCCAAATATTGAACTGGGTAAGAGGGAATAAAGCTGAAGTACATTGATGGTAAATACACAAAGATAGGATTACAAATTAAACGTTAGACTTCGGATACTACAGGAGAAAAGCACTCAGAAAATACTTGGCTGAGTACTTTCTGAGTCTTTCGTCCCAAAAATTTAATTTTTATTAAACAGTGATAGTCTGAAGTTATCATTTCACTTTGTAATCTTACCTTTGTGCATGTACACTGTGCCATCAAATGCCCATGTACTCCGGCTTTTTTCCCTCCTAACTAGTTAAACACAATAAAAAAAAATCACAAGATTACTCTGGTGGGACTCGAACCCATGACCTCCTGCTTACTAGTGCAGACGTTTTAACCACTCGACCACCGAGCTTGCCGGGGTCAGCTGGACAGTCGGAGTCAGGTGAAGCAGCTGGTACCGCAAACTATTTTCAAGATGTATTTTTGCGTAGGGGAGATGTCAATTTGTATAAGCAGGAGATCGTGGGTTCGAGTCCCACTCGAGTAATCTTGGGAATTTTTTCGCAAGCTCTTGGACAAGCACTGAGCATACAGTGATCTCCCCAATGCAAAAATACATCTTGAAAATAGTTAAACACTTGGCAGAGAACTTGGTACTCAAAAAGTACTGACCATGGCATGCAAATGTTGAGGTTGACTGACCTACCTACAATGTGCCCGACTTTGAGCATCTCAATGCTGAATTGGCTCATGAGCAGTGACAGCTCTCACTCTTACTGCGCAAACCCATTAGGTGAAATTGTGCATGAGCATGTGCGCAAGAAAGCGAGACACTTCAAACTGGGGTTCCAAGTCGTCACACGATGGCTTTCTAATTTGTTTCTTGCAGATCCGGGACACCTGTTGGCACCATTGTGGGTATCACTGTGTCGTTAGTGGCCATTATCATAGTCGCTATCATTGCATACATTGTCTACAATAGACTGACCAAAAGTGGTTACATCCCACCAGCACTGGTGAGTTAAACCCAAAAAATAAGGTTCAGAGCTCTTCAAATTCTCAGGAATTCTCTGTCAATTTTTGTAGTGCAAGTTGATACAGTTGGACATGGACTGAATGTCTAGGCTTCCTGTTGCGTTCTTGTGAATTGTGACTTCAAACTCAAAGAAGCATTAAAAAAATTTTTGCCTCGCCTTGGTGAAATTGAAAAAAAAACCAAGAATTTAACCAAAATCCAAGCCCGGTGTTTACGATTTCTCCGTGCTGTGGCTGGTCACAAAAGGCCAGTTTCATTTGAAATATTTGCAAAGTTGTCTTGTTTCTGACATGATCTTTCAGTGAGTTGCATTCCGTTTCAAATACCTGTATGCATCGAATCCATCAATACCTTGGACAATTTAGCCATTCCTATTGGTCAAGTGCCTATCACATGGCCAGTCTTGAATGGTCCATAAAGCACCAGCTTTTTGTAGGGGGCACCTACCATCACATGGCTAGAAGGGTGTTTGAGGAAACTCAAGTGAAATGGTGGATGTTTCCAGCTGGTGTAAATCATGGCTTTCATTCGGTTTTCCAGGCTTTGAAGGACCTCCAAGGGGCCAACTATGGCAACGGGGTGAGTGACGATACAAAGAGAATCTTAGTTGGTTGTTCATTGTTCTTCACTTTGTAAAGAGACGGAATCTTTGTATTTTGGGGCAGAAGTTTGTTTACTACGCAGATGCACGCCTGTTGGCAAAACGTTTTTATTGTTAAACAACAGAGCAACCTTCCTTTATTTACTTCCATGTACCCTACAAAATGCGAGATGATATCAAACCTGCCGCTGTTTTTTCTCCTGTTATAGAGCAGGTGTGTTTGAAACTTGCCTCATGAGAACTCAGTAGAGTCGATCAAGCAGCATTCAGATTTTTTGCCCGTGTTTTTGTTTTTTAATTCAAGAATGAAACGAGAGGCCTGTTCGAATCATTTGGAAGAAACCTACGCAAGATTGAAAGAGAAAAAGAATTGGTTGACATTGAAAGCTGCACGCTGAAGATAATTTTAAAAAAACGTGTTTTAGGGTGTGGTGTTTTTGTCGTAAGGCAGTGATTAACCACTTCCTGCCGGGGCAGTTATCAATGTTGATGATGCTGGGCCGGGATATTTATCATTTTTTTCTGTTTACAAAATTCTTTAAAAATTCCTATCTTCATTTATTGGACACTTACAAACACGTGAAGGACTGTCTGGTGGCCCCTCTAGCCGGACAGACAAAATCTATTGACGCCTGAGTATTTCAGCCAGGCCTGCAGCCTTGTAAAAAGAGCCCAGATTGTGCGGTGTTATATAACTTTCTTTTGTTCATGAACCTGGCTCAGTGCCCTGCCGATCTCTTTTCAGCAGGGGCCAGATTAGCATGTAGCGGTGCTGTGTGGCTCATCACTGCGGTGGTGGAGCGCTTTTGTCCCCGGTGGTAATCCATTCGCTCTAAATACCCCAAACCGTGGTATACGGTTTCAAAACAAGGCTGGATTATCTCCATTTTTGGAGTGAAAAAATGTCGGTAATGCCCAGCAGCCTGGTCTTTTGAAATGTCAAAATGGCCCCTTGAATATGGAGATCAGGTGGTGTTACATGGTGTCAGGTTCTTACATTTTTGGAATTGTCGGAGTCTGGTTCCGGATGGATTCCATAGACCCCACACAGTGCACACCACCAAGCTTGAGCTGATGTATGCGTAATGTTTGCCTGACCATTTCACAGCCCCTGACTCCCAGCGGCGCCGTCCCCAACCAGGCCCAGCTCAAGATCATCAAGGAGACGGAGCTGAAACGAGGCAGTGTGCTGGGTTCGGGGGCCTTTGGCACCGTCTACCGTGGCCTGTGGATCCCCGAGGGGGAGGCCAAGATCAGGATCCCCGTTGCCATCAAGGTGCTGCGGGAGGTCTCGCCGCAGGCCTCAGAAGAGCTCCTCGAGGTAAAGTGGAGCCTTTGCCAGTGAAGACCTACTACTGAGATCTTCACCAGTATTGCCCATCCCAAGAAAGTATCCCTGTCTGGGATCTGTTAAATATAAACATCCACCTTTAGATGCCCTTCCAGAAGCTTTAGTAATGAATATTGCTCCTAAAGATCTTCCAGTCTCCCCAAGCAGGATCTTCCGTCAAGAAACTTTCCCCAGATCCCCTCCCCAGTGGTTCTTTCCTCATTACTCTCAATCATGATCTCCATCTCCCCCCTACGCCCCTCCCTTTCCTCCAACTAAGGTGTCCCATCTCCTGCAGAGCAGCCTCGCCTTCATCAAAATCTCACCACAAACCTGGCTTTAGCTAGTCTCACCACCTTGGACGAAAATGTTGTTTCTGCGACCACAAGATAGGCCCACCATTCCAACACTGAGATTTGGGATTGTGGGACCAGCCTGATTTTTATTTCCCAGTCCACTGAATGTCAATTCCGTTGCTTCCTCAACCGACAGGAAGCCAAAGTGATGGCGTCAGTCGATCATCCCTACCTCCTGCGGCTGGCCTGTGTGTGCATGGCCCAAGAGATCTCCCTCATCACGCAGCTCATGCCCCTGGGAGCCTTGCTCGACTATGTGCGAGAGCACAAGGATCGGATTGGGTCCCACCATCTCCTGAACTGGTGCTACCAAATAGCCCAGGTATGTCGTGGTCCAGTCTTACTGCATGGAGAGTTTTCTAGCCTCAGTTTTCAGTAAGCTGTAAATTTGTCATAGTAACATTTTAGAGATTCCTGTGGAACCAAATCTGATTTAAACAAGGGTGTGAGAATTCAGCTTTTTAGCTGATTTCAGCTGGTTTTTTTTAGATGTTGAGCCTGCTTTTTTGCACACCTGGTCTGTACAAAATTATGAAAACCTTTCACAATTCAGCTTTTTTGCCAGCAGTTTTCATTTTTAATATTAAGTGGCCACTCACACCCCTGTTCAAAAGTGCAGTTGAATGTATTTTTTCGTACACTGCATGCCTGTGAATGATTATCAAAGTTGTATTTTCAACCGTCAGTTTGCAGAGATTTATAACAGAAGTGATACAAACCACTGTAAAGCTTCAGAGTCTTTCTGTACAATTGTAGATTTGAATGGATGTCAGAAAGTCAGTTTTTTTTAAATTAAGCCATTGAAACTTGATTTTGGGTCCAGATATAAAGAGTTGCCTTAGTGTATGCCATCGTTGTCAGATGGTTGAATGCAAGGCTAAGACGGCAAAAGTCAGTTTGGTAGTTCTGAAAAGCAAGGTCATTCAGGAACAAAGCACTCACACGAGTCTGCATTGGACCAAGTCCTATCAGGCAGCCATTGCCGTCACCCAAGATGGCTACAGCGCGGGGTCTGGAACCCATCTCATTGTGTTCATGTACCACTATTCAGGGCATGGTCTACCTGGAGGAGAAGCACCTGATCCACCGTGACCTGGCTGCGCGGAATGTCCTGGTGCAGACGGCCCAGCAAGTCAAGATCACCGACTTTGGACTGGCCAAATTTCTGGACGTAGACGAGAGCGAATTCCAGGCCCAGGGAGGCAAGGTTAGTACTCAATTCTTCCCCTTTCCTCCTACCCCCGACCATAACCCCTTTGGTTGGCACTGGTATTTACCATTTCCATGGGTGTCGCTAAATTTGAATAGAGTTTGATGTGGATGAGAACGACATCAAAATGTAGGTTTGAACTTTAATGGAATTTGTTGGTAACGGTAACCAATGTTTATCAGAAGAGTCAGGTACTTGCATAACTTCCCATACCTAAAAAAAAAAAAGGAACAAAACTGGACAAACTTTTTGCTCCGCATTCAGCAGACTTCTTCATCCTTGGCTGCTTCAAGAAGGTGGTGCCAGCCGCTATCTGATTTTGGAAAACTGCTAGACTTTGAACTGAAAGCAAGATGCCTGTTTTTGTTATGCATAAACAAACTTATTTTTGAAAAATTTATTCGCAGTTGCCCAAAAGAACTGAAAGAAAAACTTCTTGCCCGTCTCTCTGAAAGATTGTGTTGAAATCTGCTCAAGATTTTGGAGAATAAAAGGGGGAAAAAACGAACCTGTTAGTGTCATTTGTGATTGATCAATGGGTATTTTTTTACTTCTCCAAGACTCTTGGTTTGAGAGTGTACCTCTAATTCTGCGATGCATTTTGTTTTTCCTGCAGATGCCCATCAAGTGGCTAGCCTTGGAGTGCATTCATCACAGACGCTTCTCCCACAAGAGTGACGTCTGGAGTTTCGGTAAAGACTCTTTCTAGAAAGCTATGCAATTTGAAAAGGAAACTGCAGTTCCTCCAACCTTTTGATCAAACTGAAAGTTTTTGGAATAGTATTGATGATACTATTAAGTCACAATTACCTGTGGGTTGTTTCGAGAACTCCTTCAAAAAGCACCTTATCTCCAAAGATCTGAAATACCCCCTTCTCTTCTGTTATTCTCCAAAGATCTGAAATACCCCCTTCTCTTCTGGTATTCTCCAATGATCTGAAATACCCCCTTCTCTTCTGGTATTCTCCAATGATCTGAAATACCCCCTTCTCTTCTGGTATTCTCCAATGATCTGAAATACCCCCTTTTCTTCTGTTATTCTCCAATGATCTGAAATACCCCCTTCTCTTCTGTTATTCTCCAAAGATCTGAAATACCCCCTTCTCTTCTGTTTTTCTTCTTCAAACATTCGCTTGTTCTTTTTAATGTATCAAACGCTCTTATATTCAGTTCTCAGTACATCTATGTTTTGTTCGTATATTTTCTGTTTTTTTCTTCATCATTTTGCTTTTATATTTTCTCTGAATGATTGTTGTTAGTTTTGTTTGTGTAGTTTTTACCTCAACCACTTCCTGCCAGGCTGTTTTCGATGTTCAGGCCACTTGGCTGGGCTCTTTTTCTTTTTTTCCAAAATTCTTCAACAATTAATGTCTTCATTTACTGATATTGATCACGTGTACACCCCAAAAAATGACTGTCCTGCGGCCACTCGAAAATATACTGTACATCAAAATTACAGATGTGTAAAATGGAACCTTGTCTCTGGTACCAGGCACCCCAGTGCAAAGTGGTTAACCCTAACCCTCCTCAATCCTTCACCTGTTGGAGGACTGAGTAGTGTTAGGGTTAATAAGGCATTTTTCTACGAGGCTTTGTCTTCTGAATATGCCTCGGTGTAAAAATCAATGATGGAATAACCTTCGCTGATGGCCCAGACTTTTTACTGACAGCAAGTAAACTTTTCTAAACGTGCCTGGAATTTTTTTTTAAACAAAAGCTTCGATTTTGGGCACCCCAGCGTCGTGGGCCACACACCGTGTCTCCTGTACCGGACACCTTGGTGCAAAGTGGTTAATAAGGCTTTTCTGTTTGAGGCTGTCTTCTGAATATGCCTCCATATTGCCTCTTGTCTTCTCATTAATAAATGAACGTTAACCTCTTTTGACTGTGACTGCAAAGCTCTGTCCAGCAGCAGGTCCCATTGAGCCAGCAGCTGCATGGTGAATAGACTGTATGTGTGGTATGCACTAATCCTCACACACAGCCACGGCTGTGGATGGCTCCCGATATGAAGGGGTTAACTGCAAATCCAAAAAATACATGTCTTTCGGGAAGCTGTTTGGATTGACGACAGAGACAGGGTTAGGGCTTGAGAGTGTAAGAGTGCAGATCACATGTCTCTGTGCTCTGAAATATTGCTTACCTCTTTAGTCAGTGACCGTAAGCAAGTACACTAAGTTTTTGTTTACCCTAGAGATAGAATTTGCCTTAGATGATGCCACTTCAGAAATGTGTCCCTCTGTGTTTCAGTCTGTCTGTTTGGGTTTCTGTGACGGTTTTTCTGCAACCTGTCAAGCTGCTGCCCGACACTAATTTCAGATCAGATCATTGCAAAATGCCAGTAAACTGCCCTTGTGTTTTTGTTACCGCTGCTGTAAATCTGATCGGCAACCGAGGCAACTTGTGAATCAACAGCTTCTAATTTTGTGGGTCTGATGTTTCGCTTTCCCTTGCTGGCAGGTGTGACCATGTGGGAGTTGATGACCTTTGGTGGCAAGCCTTATGACGGTGTCCGAGCCCGAGATGTACCGGACCTCTTGGAGAAGGGCGAAAGACTTCAACAGCCACCCATCTCAACAATCGACGTCTACATGCTAATGGTGAAATGTAAGTCAGACAACTGGCACAATGTACATCATAGACAGAAATTAACAACTTGGGTCACATAACACACACCGCACCTCAGCAGAAAACCCACACCACACCCCAGAACACCTGACCTCCCCACAGCATTACCCCCCCCCACCAAACCACGCCACACGTCAGCAACACTGCACGGGACTGCTGTCTTGTGTAGCGTTCACATCAGAAACCAAAGTAACAGGAATTTTTACGCTTGAGATGGTGGTGGGAACACTTTTCATTTTGTGATCACAGGCTGGATGCTGGACGAAGAGAGTCGGCCTTCCTTCAAGCAGTTGTCAGATGAGCTGGGCCGCATGGCCAAGGACCCACAGCGTTACCTGGTCATTCAGGTCAGTGCCACCTCCTCCACTACACATTGCAGTACCCTGTGAATCGTTTTTGACCACAAGTTCATTGACAGTTCCTTTACTCTGCTCACTTACAATCTTGGTTCCCTTGAAGGTTTCAGTTTGTATTTGTCAGGGTTTTGACATGAGAGTCTGTTTAAACCAGCATTTGGAGTCTGTTTTGAAGCTCATTCTCCCCAGGGGTGTGATTTTGGAGGATTTGTTGGATTTAAAAGTTTGACCGTAAAATTTAATCATTTACTTGTGCTGTTTTTTTGTACTTTGTACAATAAAACGCAAGTGCTACGGGAAATTTGCATACTCAAAGCTATTTTGGAGGGAACTTGGCAGTCGTGTTAGCTTTTAAAAGCTGTAAAATGTTAGGTATGTTTCTGTTGTCTTCTGGATGCTTTGTGCATCAAACCGTTGCATTTTTATATGTCGTCCCCAGAACGACGGTGAGGGCTCACTGGCCGGACTGCCAAGCCCTGTCCCCAGCGACTTCTACCGGTCGTTGATTGGCGACGAGATCGACGGCGCCAAGGCCACGGATCTGCTCATGGACGCCGAGGAGTACCTACAGCCGATGAGCTTCAACAACCTGGAGCACAGGCAGCCCCCCAATGAGTTCTTCCCCAGCAGGGTCTGTACACAGAGATCTCTCTGTCTTGCGATTAGTCCAGGACTTAATTCACTTTTGATGTATTCATTCATGAAGTACGAATTTCACACATTAATGCTCCATTGCCCCGTACAATAAAGACATGAAATGTGGTCGAGCCAATGGCAAACAAGGGCATTTCCCAGTCATTTGTGAACCAGTGAAGTTCAGTTTCGACCAAAGGAGCCTCCATTGCTGAGAAAATAGCGCCCTCTCTTGGTCCAGCTCGAGGCCCATAGCCGGATGTTTTTCGTTGGCACAGTTGATTTGTAGTTGCGATAGACATTCTGATGGCAATTGAAATAAAATCATGTCCAAGAAGTCGTTGTAAGGTTTTTTCTCGGTCATGTGGATGAAAAAAACAGTTCCTTACCTCTTTTTGTCTTCAAGCCTTGGATAGCCATATTGAATGACATTCCCTGTTTCCTCACTTGCAGACAAGCGGTGCTGATTTTGTGGCCGGCGGGCCTCCGATGTCCCCGACCTATCCATACTCGCTCAACTCGCCGCCGGCCAAGGTGAACCCAACTCGCAAGGATAGTTCCATGCGGTACGCCCCGGACCCCACACTAGCCCTGCTGCAGGGAAGGCAGAACAGCAACGGTGAGAGAAGAAGACACTTAAACAGGGTTCCTGCAGTCATGGAAAATCCTAGGGGAAAAAAAACTTGGCCTGGAAAGTCCTGGAAAATTGGGATGCCCTGGAATCTTGTTGTCAGAGGAAAAAAAGTGATGGAAAAGTCATGGAAATCATGATCATGCAAGGGGTATTTTTGATGGGCCGCTTTTGATATAATAACAGGAATTAAAGTCAATGAAATTGGTAAGGGAAAATTCAATTAATTAGTCACAAAATTTACATTCTAAAAGCCTATTTCAATTTGTTACAAATGAACTTCAAAGGCTTCTGAATACGCACAGGTATGCCCAACAGTAAGGACAAAACCAACTTTCAGTTTTTCTGCTTTTTTTTTTACTCTTTTAAAAAGCATGTATACATTGTGCACACCTATTATGGGAATTTTCGTACAGCCAAATGCTTGATCAAATGGAAGGTTGAATATACTCAATTACGCAAATTGACTCAGCCTTACAGACACAGAGGTAAGGCAAATTTACTTTTATCAAGCTGTGAAAACTTTGGAATCTCATCGATCTGTCATAGACTCATGTCTGACACAGTGGCTAAACAACAAGTGAAGTTATTCACATCTTGAAATCCAAACATTCAGCAACTTTTGATGGGTTTTGAGAACAGCGAGAAAAACTGAAACAGTAATATAAACATAAAGTTCGTGTCGTCTGCTGTCAGTAAGCACTGTTGGTGTGCGAGGGCTGATTTCTTCTGATATTGTCCCCAGATGGAGCCACGGCTGTCCAGATTGACGACGATTACCTGACACCAAGCATCAAGGGTGACTACCATGACCTCACCAAGGACAAACGTAAGCAACCTGTACCCTTTCAGTTTTGTGTCTGGTGTGGTTTCATTTCTTTTCTGAAAAAACAAGCTGTACAGTTTTTAGTGAGGGCACATCCAGCAAATCGACACAGGGGGTGTGTGCACGGGTATTCAAGGGTGTAATCAGCCTAACCAAGATGACGAGTTATTTTGCATGAATTACCTCGTATTCCTAACAAGTTTTACAACCCAATTGCCCGTGGTGACACACATGACTTCTCACTCACTTACCGGCAGCTATCTTGGAGGAGCCCCAGTACCAGAATGATCCCAAGTTCAACAGCCCACCGCTGCCGGAGGACACCAGCTACCTTCCCCTCAGTGCCAGCAGCTCGGGCCCGCCCTCATCTCCGCCCCCAGCCGAAGCTCCACCCACTGGGATGGGAGTGGACAACCTGGAGTACCACGCCCTGCTGGCATCGGCCTCCCCACCGGTCATCCCAGGCAATCCTTGGAAGAGGCCCCAAGAGGCCCAGCTGGACGATCCGCGCTACATGAACGAGGAGCAGATGGGCCACACTCAGCCGCTGCTGGCCGGCGAGCAACCGCGCCCCTTGTACTCTCCAAGCCACTCCAGCAGCCGGCCGGGCAGCTCCATACGCAGCAACGGCAGCAGCAGTGTGGGTGTCAGGTTATCTGGCGCCGCCAGCGACAACGAGCTGGAACATGACTACATCAACACCGACTTACCCGGAGTCCGAGGTGAGACCAGCATCTAAGATGGTCTTGGAAACAGTAAATGCAAAAGAGGTGTGTATATATTTGAGGGATATATGCAAAGCGGTGCTGTTTACGTCACTCACAACAAGTACTGGATGGCTTGATCTATCAAAGTGTGTATTTTTCGGGTTAAATTGGCGCTGGAGAAGAGACTATATTTTCAACACAGGTAAGAGGGAATAGTGGATGCAGTGCCTATTGAAATGTATCTACTTAATACCCAGAGGAGGGTCATTGTAAATGCTGTACAAAGTACTTGTAGGATAAAACTTCCAAAAGGACGACTTCTTGCAGTTCAAATGCGCATAGCAAGCGAGCTGCCTTGTGGATTTGAGGATGAATGCCAGAGTGCAGTAAAGCAGGGAGCCAGGCTAGATCACCAGCTGGCCAGCTGTCCAATTCATACAGCATTGGTTTGCCTGTTGGGTAGTCAAGGAACCGGGCCATGAGAGTAAAGCTGCGTAATTTTTTTAGAAATGTCTGTGTTCTGTTTTATATCGCTTGTAGAGTGTCCTAGGCTGATTTTTACTAGTCTTATTATTCATCATGTTTTTTATGTTGTAAAAATGGCAGAAAAGATGACTTTCAGTATCACAGGATCAACATGTACGACGTACTACGAAAGAGAAAGGATTTAACAAAGGTGTAGGACGGAAATAAATGGTGCTCTGATCCGAGAGCGTCCGGAAGTGTTTGCATTTGCTTTGAAATGGTTTTTGCTCATTTGGACTGATGTGTGAGATAGAGTTGGCTCCAGTGTGGATGCATTCGAGTTTTGTTGTTGTCGGGTTCTGTCCCGTAACGAAATTGCTGAAGTCGCACCAGCAAAAGAAGTTATCGAGTATGGAAGGACAGACAGAAAAATGAGAGGGAAAAAAAATCAAACTAAACTAACACTACATATTGAAAAACGTGTATTTGTAGACAGACCGGAAGAAGAGGGGGTCCTTGAATATGACCTGGGTGCAAGTCTGTTTAGGTTCTCTTTTTTTAATCGGTGCAATATTTGTGCCACATGTAACATTGTCCACTGCAATTTTGAAGGTTTTAAATATTGCTGAAGAATTTGTGTTGTATATTTGATAAGGCACAGGTATGCCTTTTGTTCCGAGAAGTTGACCAACTTTTTTTTACGATAATCTTAAAGGGATCATATCTTTTTTAAATGTGGAAGGGTCTGGTTATGTTTGAATGTGGTTGGTCGTGCAAGACTTTGAAATAAACAACTCTGTCATTGTGAATGTCTTATCCATTTGCTCATGAACAGCAGAAACGAAAGCAAACTTAAAAACCCTCAGAAACTGAATGGACTTAAAGGTATTTTTATCAGACTTGAAGCACTTTCTGCTGGAAATGCTTGTCAAACATTGTCTATGCAAATGCGAGTTGTGTACGTTTTTTCACCAATGACATCTTTAATTCCTAGAAGGTGACACATGGAGGGGACAAGTGGCAATATTGTTTGGATGATTTTTTTTGTCAAAGTGACAAATTAATGGCTTAAAAAGAAAGTGGTCCCTTCTTGAGCAGTTATTTATTGTGATGCATCATAAACTCTATCTTGTTGTGCATAATTTTTTTTTTGGTAAAAAAAGTTATTAAATAATTCTTTCCGTGCGTGTAAGTTTTATTTGCTTTTATGTGTATGTAATGGGAACATTTTAGCATGTAATTAGCAGCGTAAAAATGACTTTTAAACTTGTGTGTAGATACGTACATAATGGTATGAGACTTTTCATATATTTTCTGCAGCCATCCTGGTATAGTTCCCAGAAGTTGTGACATGGGTTACTAAATGCTCAATTTGTTAGCACCAGCCTGTGTAGCCGGTCAGTTTAAACATCTACAGGCATCGCAGTGGCTATTTTTGAGGGTTTGGGTGTAAAAACAAAACATCTGGAAACAGTAATATTGAACTAGAAATTCAACACTGCAAACAAGCAAGAAAGAAATGTACCAGACTGCCCAATTAGCAATTTATCAAAAAAAAAAAAAAAAAAAAAGCATTCAGCCTTAAAATGTGAACAACAGACGTACACAAAGCACAAATTTTTCATTGCCAAAACTGTGTATCGAATTCCATAAATACATGCTATCGCTGTGAGGGCTGCATAGGCTACGTATATCATCTTTGGGCAAGCACAAATGCAACAGTGTTTTTTTTTTTCTGAACCTGTGCACGGAATGCACATTTCAACAATGTGGAAATTGTTCTCATTTATTAAAAGTGGAGTTGTGTTTAGTATTTCGCATTGCTTTTCAGATAGGGGCAACTTTTGTTCAAGTGCATGAGCATGTCGTCACGTAACACTTTATTAAAGAATGCAATTTCCATGTACACAAATGCGATTCAGTTCTTGTTGATTTCTACATTCTGTTCACCTGAGAGTGCACATAAAGTCCCACTCAGCCTAAGACATATTTCGCGATATGTCTTAGGCTGAGTAGGACCTTATGTCCAATCTCAAATAAACACGTAACGTTTTATTAAAGAATGCAGTTTACATATACACAAATGCATTCAGTTCTTGTTGATTTTTACATTCTCCATTTCTTCAAGTAGTGACTCTTCTGCCTGCTCTTATTTCAGGTAAACGTTTTTTTGTGTGTGCCGAAAAGTGAAGTTTTAAATATTGCTTGATGAGGATTCCAAGCACCCTTTGCCTCACAGACAGACTGTCTCACGTGCCAGTCGGCTTGTTTTTCCTAGGAGAATCTGTGTAGAGAAAAATTATTGAGTTCAGTGAAAAAAAGAAAAGAAAAACAAGCTCAGGATATGCAAATTTTAAAGCAGTGATATACATATTTTTGGTTCTTTGTTGTACATTTTCCTTTTGTAATTTATTTCTTGTGTCAGGAATTTTGTAATTAACAAGCGGGGATCATCCGAGGAGTATTTCTTGAGACAGTAATTGTTGATATAATTGATTCGAAACGACCCAAGCAGTATTAGTTACATGTGAGTACTCATTTTTAAAAGTACTGTTTGCTTGTATCAAAGAGAATTCTAAGGGTATAAAAGTGGTAAAATTGATTGGTTCAGATCTTCTGATGAAAACAAATCGCGATAGTAAGAGCAATGGGAAGCACTGAAATTCATACAACTGACGGTCTATTAAAATTGGAATCAGTGAGGTTATTTTGTTTTTCTTTCTTGACGTTTTTCAAGTCAGATCGTTGTTCATTGTTAATGACAGATGACATAAATATTAGTTCAGCTGTTTCACATTTTGGAGAGCGTCTCTGTTTCTCTTTGTTCTGCTTGTCGGGGAGAAAAAAAAGCCTTTTTTGCAAAAGATGCTTTGCGTGATGACGCCAAACCGTGACAGAACACAGAACTCTGTAAAACAGATTCAAACAAATCGTAGCTTCCGCCGTTGCTCTGGCACCAGTCTCGTTAAATCTTGCAAGTGACAGTCTGCGGAAGAATTTGCTCTGCTTTCAGAACTCATTGTTTTCTTACAAAATGCTGCCAGAAACAAGGATGTTTAAATTATTTTGGATGATCCAAAAGGCAAACTCTTTATTATGTAGAGACTTGACTTGTTCCAAACCTTTAAATGCATGATCTACGTATGCCATTTCAAAGCGATTCTATTTTATAATGTATAGAGAAACACAATGTAACCGCCATTTTGTTTGGGCCCTAAAGGCATAAAAAACCCCAAAAAATTTATATATTTGTTTGTATATTTAATGAAGAAGTACTGTGGCTCTTTGCTAAACACTGCCAGGGTGAATATTGTGATTATTTGTGTACTACTGTCATAATTTTACTTTATGAAGATTCTGAAGGTAATGAACCGACTGTATGTTATTTAATGAGTTTTGTTTCTCGTACTAATGCATATCATGTTATCAAAATTTTCTGAGCTTGGGAACTTCGGCATGGAATAAAAACACGTGTAAATATTTTAAAGTCACTCGCAGTGTACATTGCATTTCATCTTTTTTGTGTCCTGTTTTGTGTCTTCTGGTTGCAGAAGTTGTAAAATAAGAACAGTTTTTGAAACATTACCATGAGTATTTCGAATTAACAGCTCAAAGCTAAGACAAAAGTCGTAACTGAGGCCAGAGAACAGTGCAGACCAAACCAATATGCACTGTACACAATATTGTCGTCATTGGTTACGTCACTTAATATTTTCATTTTGTCCGTAACCGTGCGTGCGAAATGAGACCCTTTCATGGTTTGTACGCGTACTTTTAGCGGTCGTCTAACCTTTAAACGAGGCCCCTAAAAACTTCTTTGAAAGTCTGCAAGTGTGAAGTAGGGGTAAGAAGGGATGATAGTAGATGCCAACACCCCCCCCAAATAAAACGTCGTTTAATTTACTCATTTCGTTTTGTCACTTTTTTTATGTTGTCTACTTTTGCCTGATTTTGAGGCGCGCTTGCAACGTTCTCATGTGACGATTTCCAGCAGCGTGCAGAGAGCAACCGTCATGTACCCAGACGTCTCGGCATTATTTAGAATTCTATGCAATAGCAGTGTTCACATTCACTCAGCGCACGCGCACTAAATTTAAAAGGCGAAGGCAACACGAGGATCCTTCTCATGACTGAGGTGAGTTTTCAGCACCAAAAATGCTGTTTTTACCCTCTTAATGACTCCAGAAATGCTCTTTGGTTGAGTCTTCTTAATCTTGGTTCATTAGTGTGATGACTGAAACAGTATTTCAGCGAGGACTCGTACTGAGGTGTATTGTATTTGTAGAATAATCATGATAATCCTAGCCCAGGTTGGAGAACGTCTACATTGCATTGCGACCATGGCGACTCGAGTCCAACCTGAAACCAGAAAATTCCACGTATAAGGCGTAGGGCCCACACGAATGCTGACCAACTCGTATATGTAGGTCTACGCAAAATTGTACACCGAACTATGCCATAATATCAATAGTGCGACACGTGTGAGGACGTCTGGTTGTATTGCCCTTGCCTTCTATACATTGTAGGCCTTATGTTGGATTTTCCTCCCAACTTGATTCCCACCCAGTCTGGTAGGCACACTGTTCTGTGTATCCGTGATACATTTTAATTATGTCAAAATGGGTTTCGGGGTTTTCTCCGTCGAACTTAATAGGCGAATGCTACACAACTTGCACAAAACTTTTCAGACAAATTTTTCTGTCAGAGCAAACTTTGGACTTGGCAAATTACTGATATGTTTATAACAAGAACCTTAACTCTAACAGTAACAGTCCCAAATCCTCCAATTTCAATTCAATTTTACATACACCCTTGAGGGTTAGGGTTTATTGTATTTTCAGGAATGAAAATAATGAAAAACTAAAGAAAATTTCCTTTTTATAGAATCTTGTATTCTTGTGAAAGCTCTTAGTTTTAAATCCACAATGGAAAAAATGGATCATCCCATTGTATTGATTGTTCCTTTGATTCTCTCTCAGCTTGACGAGGACAACTGCCCACATGGATGCTTGGAGAAGGGTACTCTATTGGTTATGAACAAGAGTAGTTGGACATATCAAAAAGGTAACATTTTTAGGGAAGAATTCCATATGTGGACACCAGTAGTCATTCCCGGCAGCGACCTATCAGCTGTCAGAAAGCAGAAACATGTCTAGAAATGTTAAATTTAGGAGGGAAAAAACCAAGTCGTTTACTTAGAAAACACTTTGAATTTTTCAAGCCAGTCCTATAGGGTTTGTTCACAGGCTGTCAAGTGGCGTCTGTATATGGAACTCTTTCTCATTTTATTCTGTTTCTGACGGAAGATTGGCAAGTGATAACCAATGAATCCACAGTCAGTACGTAGCTAGTGGATCGTCAGTTTACGAAGCATTTCTTATTATTGATACAGTGAAATCTCATTAAGTCAAACCTTAAAGGAATGGCGAAAAAATTGACTAGTCCAAAGGTTGAGTTACGTGTACATGTAAGCAAGGTTCCTGATTTGTTGCAGTCAAGTCAGGCAAGTACGTGTAGGGTTTCACCGCTGCCTGCCAATTCTCATTGTGTCTTGTTTTGACTTCAGTGGTGCATTTTTGGTCGCAATTAACTGTTTCGTGCTGTCATTAATGTTGCTGTTATCAAAAGGCCAAACAAAAAAATAGCTGTGTTTTCGGTTACCCAACCCAACCTAGAAAATCATGTGGAACCTATATCTTTTTACTTGACAAATCAATAAAATATAAAAAGCCTAATTTTGTGTACATGTACATCGTCCTGTACATTGTTTTGTTGTATTTTTTTTGCATGAGATGGACGGCTCTTATGTGTTTGTATTTCAACAACCAGCTGCTTTACTACTCAATCACAGTGCTGATATGTAGCCTAATATTGACGTGCACATGCATTAATCTGACAATGACCTAGTACATGTACCTGCTACAAATATATGCGCCCCCACCAAAAAAATACAGACCATCATGCAACCCTTATTTTTAGGCTATAAAAATTTAGAGTAAAAAAGCACCCTAATTTATTTTTCAGTGTAATAGGAAACACAACTAATTTTTTGTCTGGCCAAAGGGTATGCTTTATCAATAGTAGATAATATTTTTCAGTGTCTAACATCAATTTTTTGCCAATTTTTTTGCATTCCTACAATAATTCTGATAGCTGGATTGGCTCATTCAGTATGTTTTGCCAAAGGGTATGCTTTATCAATAGTAGATAATATTTCTCAATTTCTAGCATCAATTTTTTGCCAATTTTTTGTACTCCTACAATAATTCTGATAGCTGGATTGGCTCATTCAGTATGTTTTGCCCAGCGGCATTTTTACTGCAGTGTGCCACTCGCAGCGACTTGAGAAAAGTTGAGGACTACTTGTTGCCCGGTTCCCTGAGTCTAGAATGGCTCATTGTGATTCATATCATATTAACCTCCTGGACCAGTCTCACTTTGGCGATTTTGCCCGCGCTGTGTTTCGGCAAGCTCGATGAACTTCATACGAAAAGTTTCACAAAGTTCTCTGGAAGTTAACATTTCCCAAAGAGAGTTTTTTTTTCAAATGACATATCAAAGGATTCCCACTACAGTTTGAAGAAATGAGTACTTTTTTCAGGGGTGGAAATATCGTAGTAGCAGGAAGCGATTGAGAGTGTTAGCACATTTCTGCTGCTGACCAATACAGCACAGCGTAATTTTCTTTGTGATGCCTAGGGCCTACACTGTAGCTCCCCAGAGCGTGGTTATCTTGAATGCTGAAGAATAGTGAACTGCAAGACATGTATACTGGACCATGCATGTAGTCTTTGAGACTGGGTGTGATATCCCTACTTCAAAGGCACAGAATGATTCATGACTTATACAGACACTCAGTGGCTGTTCACTCCATAGATTCACAGCACATACCACACATACTGTACATGAATTGCTTCGTCACGCCTGTCCAGTTGCTTGTGCCGTACTAAAACAGCCCTTGGGATCTGTACGTTTTCGCTGTCTGGTTCCCAGACCAAAAGACTCTGACAGGGTTTATCAGGGATGTGGAAATTCACCTTAGCTGATTTCAGCATTTTGGTTCATCAGATTTTTGCTCTGCATTTTGGCTTTTTTATGTACTCCTGCTCTCTACAGAAATGATTGGAGCCTAGCTTTTTACTAGCTTGCTTATGAACGTGGTAATGCACGAGTACATGTATATGGCCGTTATAAACCCCTGGTTTATCAGGTGTTCTGTCAAGGGTTAATCGGCACAGTAAAATGAGTAGCAGTGCAGCCCCCCCATCACCAGGTGCACAATTTGCATTTTATTCCTAAGTTTCCAATGTTAGCAGACACACGTATGATTATGTTCACACAGAGCATCAACATTTCTTTCTCCTAGGATTTGTATAACTCACAGTAGGCATGAAGCAATAGATGCCACCATGCTCATTTGCCTCGCACATTTCCAGTGTGTGTTCATATGACCGGCACTTTGAATCAGTTAGAGGGTGCATGCTGCAACTTGGCCAGTGGTAACGAAATGACCAACTCCGAAGCCGAATATATGCTCAAATTATCTTTGTTGTGCAGTCACATGGTCACGGCAAAGAGCCAATGATCGGACTGCTGGACATGTAGGATACGACAGTAGCGGTCAGGTTTATACATGTACATGTAACTCTGAACTTTCAGACGCCAGGATTCCTTGCAGCTTTGGGCTTGCAATTGTGAGTTCTCTGACCACAGTGGTAGCCAGCGGTGCAACCCAGAGTGAAAGAAAAAAAACACAGCTTTGGGTTGGCATTTTAAGCTCAAGGAAAAGTGTCCACGATCTCTCTAGTCCTTCTCTCTGACTCCTGGCGGTTGTTTCTTTTTCAGACTGAGCAAATGAAATTTCAAATTAATTAAATGCCTCCATTGCTTTGGGTGTTCCAAGTTTCTGTGTGCTTACTTTGATTAATGTATAACATGTACATGTAAATGGTGTATTAAGTTTTTCGAAATGTACATGTAATTTAATGAGATTTCACTGTACTGAATAAAAGATGGCTAAGAATTGATGTCAGATTTAAATTCAGTGCGCTCTGACTCAAAGCATTATGATAGATCTCAAACTTCCCATCCAACTTGTTTGTGCTTTGAAAGACCCACAAGAGTGTTGCACGAGCTACAGGAAAGCTAATTTCTCGTCCACAGACAGTCAAAAATGGATAATTGTGATGATTGTGTCTATGTTTCTCCTTTAGGCTGATCATGAGGACAACTGCCTGCGTGGATATCTATAGAAGTGGTGCCCTGCCCATCTGGAACGAGTTCTTGGACTCGTCAAAAGGTACAATTTTCATTCTCGTACAATACCATAAGGTTTAGGGCCAATATCAAGAAGTTTTGTTCATGTATGTTTCTGACAGGAATTACAGTGTAAATTGAAAATGAGCAATCCTTTGATATCGTGATTCATTTGGCTCAAGAGGAAATGAGAACAATACGTAGACAGATATTGAAGTAAACGTGTGGTGGGGAAAACCAAGAAAGTGACGGCCTTCCCGCGCAAACTGCGAAAGCGCGCGAGGAAGCCCAGCCTGTCATTGGTCTGTTCCGCGTACAGGCTGATCCAGATTGGTGTGGACCATACTTACAATGCCCGTTCTCACTCCCCCTGGACCCAAATTATGTTCTTCGGTGACAAGCACTGAAAAACTGTATTATCGTTATTCATTTTCATAATGTGAGCATTGCAAAAGTGTTTGCGAGGAGTACCTCAGGAACGAGTACAGACATGAAGCCTATCTGTAAACTACGGTAGTTGATCGTCACTCCATGGAACGTTTCTTAGAGTTACACGTGTTTCTGGTAATGAAACCAGCCATTCCTCAAAAGCATCCATTGCACTGTAGCTCAAAAGCCTGAAAAAAAGGGAGAAGTACTAGAGTTTACGTCTGCTTTGTACAGAATGCAGAGCTGGGTTTGCTGTAAGGAACAATAAATGGAGTAAAATGTCAACAACAGTCAGTTGAAGATTAAAAAAATTCCATATTAAATCACTAGTTGACGTCATCATAATGTTGTTGTAACGAATACTTTTACCAGGTCTTTACATGTCATAGAAGTTTCAAGCTAATCTGACTTCGAATATTGCAAAACAATACAAGTGTACGGTGTGGATAAAAGTACTGAGAAAAAAATTGAATCATAAAAAATAAATTAAAAAATCATGTGACGATGTCATCATTATGTCATTTCATAGTTGCATTGCTGAATATGTTAGACACCTTTCCACCAACTTTCACGACAGTCTGATGTGTTTTTACATGTGAAACACAAATTGATGAGTTTGATGATGTCATGATGTCACAAAAATTTCCTCTGGGGGTGCATATAAACTTCGCCTTACAAAGGTCTTGCAAATTAATTTTGAGAATGTACTTTTTGTGCTCGTGAGATATTATTGATAAGAAAATTGAATCAAGAAT